ACATGGACAAAATACAGACGGCACCAGAATCAGCCTCTTCCTATGCTCGATCCTCCTCATGATGTGAAAAAAATATGTAAAAAATTGTAAAAATGCATAAAATTGCCTAAACCTTTGGCCCCCTTCCATGAACGAGGACGACGTCCTTCCCACCAAACCCGCCGAGCCAAACCCGCCGAGGTCGCTTGGCGATATAGCCCGGCGAGCCGGGCAGGTCGTCGTCGTTCATGGGCGAGGTGTGACTGGCACAGATCTCCAGGTCCGAGGACGTCTTCACCGGATCCACGAAGTCGCATTCCTGGAGGGTCGTGGAAGAAAGAAGTGCCATCGCTTCGCTTCGTAACAAGTGCCGTATACTAGTATATAACCATAGTTTGCTAGTAGAAACAAGGTGCCATTCCCAAAAAAAACAACGGCCTGAATTTTTAAGACAAAGGAGGCCCAAGCTAGCTGACTCGATGAGTTCAAAAGATAAAGCAGTATCATTTCCAGACACTCCATGGGACTGGGATAGATGCAAATATACCCCAGACACTCCATGGGACCGGGATGGATGCCGGTCAGCTGGGGTGGTTTTGGGTGTCAATGGGGCGGCAGTCCTATGGCAGTCCCATTTTTTGTGTCGGGGTTTTGTAAAATTAACCTGCTGATACCTGGGCCAAGCTGTCTGGTGTCCAATGGAGATCCCTATGTGGAGGGTAACCCATTGGTGACCCATTGGGTGGTGGTGGTGATGTGGTTGCTTTGAAGATGTCGCGGTGGAGTCGGGAAAAGGTCCGGAAGGCCAACACGGGTTGAGTCCAAGACGTTTGAAGGGTCGACCTGATCCAAGTACTCGGACATTCACTTAATAAAGGCTTGCTGATTGGGTCTCATCTTGTAAAACACTTTTCGACGTGACCGTTTCTCATCTTTTTCCCGTGTTTGGTTCGTCCGAGGGTTTGCGGTGGTGTAGCTCGTATGGATGTTCTTGGATGTCTTGCAGCGACTTGGACGTTTGCATTCTGAAACGGTGCAGCATCGATGGTCATGCAGCATCGATGGCTTCAGGTCTGGGGTCCTTCACCTCGCCACTGATTGCGGTCAACGACGGGTTCCGCTGGAATTCGCGTGCTTTCATTGGCTTTTTCCACCGTGGCTTCCCCTTTTCAGAAGTCCACAGGCGACTGGCTGATTGGCGGATGGAAAAGGCTTCCCCACCTTGAAGTCCAGTGTCTCCATGAAACCTCAGACGGTCCAAACGGCCAAAGTCCTCCAAAGTCGCCAAGCCTTGACCACGCTATACCACACTAAAGCCTTGACCCAGGTCAAGTCAAGTGCTTATGTCATCTTGTCCAAAATCACCTCTTTCTGGCTGGTTCCAGCCAGTTCGACAGATCTTTGATCAAATGATCGGAATAGTTTGGGGATGGGTCAGAACCTGGAGCCAACACCGCGTAGCTTGACCTGACGTCGGTAGGTCCAGCAAGGTATCCTGGTGCCATGACCCACGGCCATTGAATTGTTGGACTCTTGACCATACAGGACGTGTACTTGCAACAAGGGTCCTTTAAGGTCCCCCCTTCACAACTGGAGTCACTGGAGGTGACTGACCGCGGGATGGGATAGGCGTAAAGCAATCATCCCATGGAACGCCAACACTTTCCAACAAAACGGTGAATGCCGTGATGCTTCCAGAGTTGTTTCATGCTCACATCCACGGAAGGCACCCGATGGCTGAATTTGCGGCTTCAATTTCGCATCCAAGCAGCTGCCGTCCCACGCGCCATCATCTTTCACGCACTCAGCCAGGCGCGTCTTCCCTCGAGGCACGTGTGAGGACGAGAAAGAAAGGACCACCCATGGGAAAGGGCAGCTACTACCGCCAAGCACCTACTAGCCAACCACCAACCACCAACTCCCAGCACCACTACCCTGCTGCATTCACAACCAGAATTCCAGGCTTCCTTCTTTCCGAGTGGCTCGAGTCAAAGCTATCAATCTTGAGGCTGTCAAGCATGCAGGCCACTTGCGCAATCGCTTTCGCCTCTTGTTTCAGCATCTCCTGGAGGGCACCCTCCAGGTCTGTGCCGTTTCTGCACGAAGCTGAGCTACCAAGCCGAAGCCACCTAAAAGCAATCGGCAATAGGGTTCAATGGTCTTGCCAACAGCGGAACACTTCCTCGCTTTCGCCTCGCTTTGAGGGGGCCTTCAAACAACCCGACAAACATGTGCTGGAATGCATGGCCGAAACAAAGGACAAGGATAAATTATATACTGTTGCTGAACGGGCTCACGCCGTCCTCTTGCGCCCCACCAGTGCAGAAGCTTTTGCGCGCATCTGCCTGTGTGCCGCTGTCAAGCCAAAGGAGTGACCTTTTCTCCAAGATGGATTGCAGCGCCAGCAGTTCCAACGGAATGGTTTACGTAAGTCCCTGAGTGGAAAATGGGCACCCCTACCCTCCAATAGGCACCGCGTTGGAACTGCTGGTGAGTGGTTCTTCACCATCAACAAGTATAGGACATTACAGTATAGGATGAGCTGATGGAGGACTACGTGACTGTGGTTTTGGAGCGTGGCTCACCTAGGCGAGGGGTCTTGAGAATTGCCAGTAGTGAGGTGCTACATTGCGTTGACCAGGATGAGAAATGACTCTGGAAGACTGTCAGTTTCTATCACTGACTGAGTGACAAAAGCATCCCTGCTACCCCAGGGGGTGGGGGGGTCGGACCCCCAACAGAAAATGGATTATCCATTTTTGACCCTGATGATGCATTAGCAACGGTCTAGATCCAGTGATATTCAGTGTCGTCCATCGCACCAGCCTGCACTTACCCAACCTGTTTTGCACTTTCTGCATCATATTTTGCATCATTTGCTTTGTGTTTTTGATCTTTTGGCGTCATCTTTTTGGTCTCTTTTGGGCTGCGTCCTGTTTCTGGTCGAGAACAAAAAACATTGGATAGGGGTCCAGGTATCTGGTATTTCGAAGTGCAAAACAAGCGAGCATCTGGTTACATCGAGCGTTAAATCAAAGAAACAGACCTTGATTTGATTTACATTGCGTGGACGCGTTGCCTAATACACTGCATGGACGCGTTGCTTACGCCCGCGGGGCGTAAGCGATGCGGACCCTCAGGGAGCTCCGAGCAGAGGGACCGCGGTGCCGTCCAAAAGGTCGCGTTGCTTACGCCCGCGGGGCGTAAGCGATGCTCCTTGTTTTTTGATTTTTGGCCACATTCAAAGCAAGACCATCATATTCAATCATGCCAGCATGGTCAAGTGAATTCAGGCGGTTCACACGATCTTGGCACTCTTTTTTTCTTGGCGTCTTAATCTACTGCCCAAGCGGAAAGCCATCAAAAGTCTTGAATCTGGTGGGCACCCTGGCATCTCCATGCTCAGACTTGTTTTCAGTGAGCTTGCTGGAGCCTCTTTCCCATTCAACCGCGTCGCTTGTCAAAATTTCTCGGGGCCACGCGGAGATAAAACTGGAAACATGTTGGCTGTGTAAATGGAATATTAAAATGGAATTCCTAAAGGTACCCCCCCCTCGATCCTCCATTTTCGAGGAGGGGGGATACAAAAGCACCTCGAGACTGAGTTCCAAGCCATCTCTTTCGCCGCTGTCTGGTAGCAACCTGAGATTGCTACTGCTACGACACATACACACACAGCAGCTTAGTGGTGGTGGAGGATTTGACTGTTTTGACCTTTTAACTTGCTGAAGTCTGGCCGTTGCAACCTACCCGGCTACCGAAAACGCCACGACTTTCGACGAACAACTGGGTGTCTTCAGCAGGGTGGGTCACTGGTCTCCGCCCACGTCGCCCAGCGCCAAGAAGCGATCATAGGCCAAGCACGCACGATGCCGCTGCTCCGCCTGCCTTGGATGTCTGCCACGGGACGAACACCGAGGCTCGGAGGGGGACCCCTGGGAAGCTGTGTAGGTCAAGTGCTTAACAACCCCTAAAGGGTGCTGTGTAGGTCAAGTGCTGTGTAGGACGGGGGTTCCCGGGAAGCTGTGTAGGTCAAGTGCTTAACAACCCCTAAAGGGTGCTGTGTAGGTCAAGCTGCTGTGTAGGAGGGGGACCCCTGGGAAGCTGTGTAGGGGGCCAGTTCGACAAATCTGAAGCGGATCGGCATGATTCAGAGTCGTCTCCTGGCGCCATGACCGCCATATGGAGGTTGAAGAAGTGGACCAAACATGAGCAACCAAACCAACTCCCAAACACAACCAACACGAATTGACCCCAATTCAACCACCCCAATGTAGGTAAACAATGGTAAACAGTATACATGGATTGTTAGATAAAGTAACCACCAAAACTCTTTCCCGGCCCGGCGGTTCACGCAAAACAAAAGAGAGATTTTGTAACGTTGACCACGGTTCAGGAAATCATTCGGGAACCCAAAGCTTTTCCTGAGCCTCTCTTGGAACAGGTCTAGGTAGATCTTGGAAGCGAGAAGGAAAAACACCTCAAACTCATTGGGTGTGGAGTTCTGCCATTCCTCAGCTTGAAGCAACCTAAAGAGATCTAACAAGGTTCAACTATATACCCTAGGGCTCCTGGCCCACCTCCTGAGAAGGTGGTTGGGGTGGGTGCCAGGGGGGTCTAACCACCTTCTGAGGATATGGTTGGAGCCCTAGGGATAATACATGATAATACATGATAATACCATGGTTGCAGCTCGCTGCGCATCTGAGATCTTCGGCGCATGTTCACGCAAGTCTGATATCGCTCTTGTGCCCTGAAATGGCTCAGTAGGCTTACTGATGGCATACCCTTACAATGTATCAGAACGACCCTTGCACCAAAACGTGTCGGTGAAACATGTGAACATGTGTCTTGAAACTGTATTGTATTGCCTGCGTGTTCGATGTGTGCAGCGCATGAGCCCAACACCCCGGAAATCCAAATCGGCCCTCAAAAGGGACCGCTCGATCCCTTCCAACACCGAAAGCACGAGGTGTGAAAGAACATTCAGAACATGCGTCTCCGATTTGCAGGCCTCCCTGGTGCGGTGAAAACCCACCATGTGCCACGAGTTTCTGAGACGGACCTGGCTCCGAGTCAAAGAGTCCTCCTTTTCTTCTTCGCCCAAATGGGTCTCTGCACGGCCAATGGGTCTCTGCGCAGCGGCGCCAAGGCGCTGCGGGGGCGCCTGATCGTATCGAATCAAATGCCATGGCTCGGGGAATACCATAACCCTGGCACTCGATGAATGGAATAGATTCCTACTTTGACGCCCCGAACCACCGCAATGCAGGCGCATATGACTAAAAAAAATGTCCCCCATGGAGTGTCAGGGTAAGGGAACACTTCGAATCCAAAGCAGAGAAATGCCAGACCTGGAGCAAAACATCAACATGCAGCATAAGCGCATCACTGCAAAGAACAACCGCTTATTAACTTATGGCGGGCGCGCCAGCGGCGCAAGGTTTTGGAACCAATGGGAACCAACGAACGCATCCAGGCAGTCTTCCAAACGACCTGCGTGCAGTTCGTGGGATCAAAAGATATCAACATACATCACACCTCCAGGATTGCCATCTGAAACGTTCCCGTGCTTCTTGTCCCATCTTATTTATTCCCCCCTTCCGGCCACACTGACACCCACCTGCCTTACCATGCCGCCACTGCGCCATCCGCCCGCGGTTCGGTACCGCCACACAAGACCCCGCTCTCAGGGTCACGGCCTTGGGAGATGGATCTGGCCTTCAAATGGATGACTCCACATCAGTTGGGGTGGTTGACTTGGGGTCAAGGATCTTTAATTGAGTCACTAAGTCATACTAAGTGCCATTTCAGAAGCACTTTGGGCTTGAACAGCTTCACCCGAACCAACTCCCCCGTGTCGGAGTTGAGTGGGGTACTCAAAAGCTCTCCAAAATGGTGGTGGTCCACTGATCGGAGGCTAAAAGGTTTTCTTAGGTTTAGGGTTTCGGGATCGGAAGCTTTGCCGCCTTCCAATCCCTCTTCGAGTTGGCGTTGAAGATGACACGAGGTGAAGTGTGACCTGCCAAGCTGGTGGTACAGGGGCTTCTGAATTCTGCATCTTTGATGAGGTCATCAACTGGATGGATCGCGCAACACCATAAAGAGACCCACCCCATGGCAGGAAAGGCATTGTCCACACCTAGTGACTATAGGAATTAAAGCATCCGAGCTTTGACAGGGGCCCTTAAATCCAAACTGGTTTTACAATCTTCCCCAACCTCTTAAATTCTTAAACTCTTGCCCTGTGGGACTTGAAGCGGCATCTAGGTCCCGAACAGCACTGTTGCTTTTCATCCTCGAGCGGTAGCAGCTGAGCATCACCTTCGGTGTGCCCTCGAAAACATGCCTGGCCGCCCATCCCGCAAAAATGGACCCCATCACATCTGAGCCAAAGCTATGGTCCACGTTGGAGTAAAAGCACATGGAAGAATCCATGTAAATGTATATCCATGTCTCACTGGCTGACGCTTCAGCTCCCTAGGCACCCCCGGCTATATAACCGGGAGTGAAAAGGGTTTTGTCGCCAGTTCGGAACATCGGGGTGCATGCCGATGAAGGCAGTGGTGACAGGAGATGAGATGGCCATTTGAGGCAGCTGCTTCGATGCCATAATATGACAGCAAAGCAGAACTTTTGGCCTTGGAAATGGTTCTTTCCACGCCGTCAGCTTGCACCGAACCCAATCTTCCAAATGGCACAGCGGGAAGTTCACAAGGTCGCGGTCTTCGACGGCGACAGACGGCAGCGATGGCTGCAAACCGCATCTTTCGGCCTAACAACCAGCAGGCCAGCAGGTGTCCAAAACAACCAGCCACCACTCCAGCAGGCCAAGATGGTGGCACTCTTCCTCTCCCTAGCACGATAGAAATCGATGGAGAGTACCCCTGACATCCGACATCCCCTGAGAAGGAGCGAAAAAAAAAGAAGTAACAACTACCATAACTTACCAATGTCGTGATCAGCTTGACCCTGCCCTGTTACAGGTCATGGGACACACCCGAGAAATTGACACAGCTGCCACCCTGCATGCGGTTCCGTTCACCTGCCCCTCACTGCGATCTCAAGCGAAGAGCCTCTGACCTCGCTTCACCGAGCAAGTGAAGAAGAAAGGCGGACGTCGTGGTGAAGCATCGGCGAATCCGCTGCCTTTGATCACCCCAAAACCTGAAGGATTCCTCATTCTTGGCTACTAGACTATCTAGATTCATGCTCCCAAAATCTCCCAGGCCCATCACAGGGGTCGACCCAGTTGAAAACAAGGTTCCACCGTGGTGCAACTGCTGCCGGACGAACCCGATGGACCCGTCGAGGCATACGCCCATCGCATCAAACGGGGACGACGGATGCGACGCCGAGACGCCATGGAGTTCCCGGCGTTTTGGAGTAGTCCATCGTTGCGTCCAAGGTCCGCATGTGTTGACACGCAACTTGCTCTAAAAAAGGAAGGCTCGGCAGTGTCGAACAACAACTACCAGAGATAACATGTAGGCAACACAAAAGGCGACCTGCAAAGACTGTGCGAAACCAGGGTTTTGGGGATCCAGATGTTCACCCACACCAGCACAAGGTCAACATACATCAGGCTGGGCATGGCTGGGCATTTTCCCGATGTTTTCCGACCAGCCAAATGACCTGCACGCTGTGGAGCACATGGTTTTGGCGAGAACATGTGTGGCAACTCCCTTCACCCACCGCCCTTCACCAACTGTCGGTCTGGGGGACGAATACCAGGACCGACACCAAAAGGTGTCTATAAATAGCCTCTTAGAGGTTAAGAGGTTGCCAAAAACCACCTGTTGGAAGGTCCTGGTAGTGATTAACTGTGAGATGGCACATTCAAACCCGGTGCGGGTTTCATGGCATATTGAAACCCGGTTAACGGGTTAACGAGCCATCGTTCCACCCAGGCACCAAGGACCAGCACCACGAGCAGCATCGAGAACTTGTCCATGGAAGCGCCATTGCAGGTGTGCTGGTATGGAATGCTCATGCCTGAAGGCGACTCCGCCCTCGACAGTACACGCTGTGCGGCGCTGTCGATCGACCGTCTCAGGCGGACACGAATGGGGGTCTCATCCGCGGCTCCGTGCGGAATGCTGAACCATCCAGCGATGCTGATGAGGTGGAGTCCGTCCGGACTTCGGGACTTCGGGATTTCAGGATTTCAATACATTCCCTAGGGATCCAGGAAAGTACCGAACCTCAGAAGTGACCCTCCAAACCATTCCAACAAGGGATTGGACACACGTTGCACAACAAACGCCTGCCAAGGTCGTGATGAGCAGAACACGGCCTCCAGTCATCCTATCACAGAAGCACGCGCCCACACTCACACACATGGGAAAGCGAAAGTCTCCTAGAAATGTTTGGCTGGCTTGGCGTCACAAAATCCAAATCAAAAAAGCAGCAGGTGCACGGCACGGTACACTATGAGACAGTATAAAACCGATGTTAGCCAGTTTGATCTTTGGGTGGTCACCCAAAACTGTCCTGAATTCGCTCAATGCCAGCATGCCAGGGGTGTTGGTTGGGTGTACCCAGTGCAAACGACGATGCCAAGGAAACCAATTGGCAGGAGGGGTGGCAACGCGATTAAAAGAACAATATATATATATATATATGT